TGAGAGGGCACAGACAGCAGCAAGCTCGTCCTTGGGGCTTTGCTCCACGGGCTGCGTCAGGCAGGCTGATGCAGTAGGGACGTGGCCCTCGCACCTCTATGCGCTTGGCTGGCTGCGTCTCCCTTCAGAGCCCTCTCCTCGGCCATAAACAGGGCTTGCACGCGCCTGTCGTTAGTCCCTGGGCTTCGGGCAGAGACCCGGCCAGCTCGGCTCACCCTAACTGCGTTTACCCCAAGCTCCTTGGCACGACGTTGCTCCAGTCCCTGGAGTAGGCTGTTCGGAGGGCAAGCTGGAAGGGTGTCAGAGCTGGACCGGGGGCTGGGGCGCAGGTCTGATCCTGCACACAAGTGGGCCCCAGCTGGGAGAAGTGTCTCCAGGAAGGATGTGGTGGGGAACGGCCCCACTGGGAACGCCCGTGAGGAATCAGTATCTTTACACATTTTCCATCCCTGAACACTCTTTTTCGAGTAAGTCTTGGCCCTGATGAAGAGGAGGTGGTGTTAGAGGACCAGAGGGTCCCGAAAACTCTTAACCCAGCCCCAGCAACCAGTCCACCATTCCCTCCTGTCTCCTTGGCTAAGTCAGAGCCCTTCGTGATTTATGTCTTCCTCCACCCCTGACAGCCTGAGACCTTTTCCTGACCAGATTTTCTTGGGTCACGTTGTCTTTCTTGGCACTGTTCTGCCACCAAATTGTGCAGCCTTGATCTGGCGACCAGGACTTGCCTGGGTTCCTGCTGTGCCTGACCCTGAGCCTCGCTGCAGCAAGGCTCATCCTTCGCAAGCAAGGTCCCCACAGGGGTTTGGTCAACGGCCTTCTCTTGGGAACTGCGGCCAAACTGCGGCACCAGAAAGGAGTGACTCGAGCGGGGTGGGACGAGCCCGTAGGGGCTGCGGCGCGCACCCGGTTCAGCCTGTGGGACCGGCTGCGGCAACTTCCTGGCCTTCTCCTCTGATGTGGCTGAACTTTCAATGTCTAGGTGACCTCAGTGCTGAAAATCTAAAGGAAGATGCCACGGAGCTGTCCCTACTGGTCCGTGGTGGGTGGAAAACCATCCTCTTCAACATCGTCCCTGTGGTGAGGAAGCAGCAGGAGCCGCTTGAGCTCAGTGGGCGGCAGAGTGACCGGGGCTTCCCTGAAGGCAGCCTCCAGAAGGCCACGCAAGAGGCCCACTTCGTCCCTGCCTCTCCCTATTGCTGGAAGTGAGTGGCACACAGCGCGCTGCATGGTGCCACACGCACAGCACTCGGTGACCGTACCTGCGTCCCATCTGTCCTGGGGGCCCCTGGCCGGCAGCGTGCAGAAGGGGGTGTGAAAGTAGAGGGAGAAGTTTACTGTGGCCAGCTGGGGTGAATTCATCCCATCGTTAAAATTATGGTCAAAACCACTGTCCTATTTTGGGGGAGACAATGCAAAAACATCAGCCAAATTTCAGGCAACACCAGGAAAGAGGGCAATAATGCAGTCCCCTCAGCACCAGGAACATGCCGAGACCTTCGGCTGAGCTTGAGCACCCAAGCTCAGGTGCAGCTCAGGGTAAGGCCAGGCCCTTCTTGAATTTGGGAGCTCTCCCAGGGTCCTGGGAAGTCCCCCAGAGTGAGGGAGTACATGAGGGAACCTTTCCTTATGGAGTCCCTCCCTAGCATACCCCTCTTTCCAGGGTAGGTTTGATGCTCTCAGCCTAACACAGGATGATTTTCCTGCCTGGTGGCCTGGGAAGGAGGATGAGCTCTCGGCTCTGCAGAGCCCCCCAAGCCCTTGGTGGGGGCTGTGCTGGCCTCGGGGGACATGAGGTGTGGGACACGTTCCCAAGAGGCTGGGCTCACACGCCGAACGCTCCCCAGCCATGACACGCCACGCAGGGTGTTTAGATGTCTGGGGAGGCCCCCAAATTGCTCCCAGGAGCTGAGCCTCAGGAGGAGCAGTGCAGAGGGTGGCAGCTCTCTTGCTAGGGCTTTGCGAGCAAGTCCAGGCGTCTCACAGCAGCAAGTAAAGAGGTGCGTCCCAGTGTGGGCTGTGGGAGGGAAAAGGGCTGGGGTGACACACACCTCGCCTGCGAGCACAGTTACCAAGCCCCAAGGAGGGGCTGAGCATCCGCCTGCGCCAGCTCAAATTATTTTGGGCACAAGCTGGGTGTCCAGCCCAGCCCTGCATGGTCAGCCTCGCCTCTGGGACAACCTGCAGCACTCACTCCCCAAAACACACAGGGCTGGTATGTAAGGAAACAGAGCCCTGCTTCACCTCACCCCCAGTCCCTCCTGGGAATGCACTAGATGCTCAGCAGCACCCTCGTTACACTGCAAATCTCTTGGCTCCTCCTTTCTCACCAGGGGTGGCCACAGGAGGTGGATTGGGGGCGCCACGTGGTTGGGACCACACCGGGTGGCTGGGGGAGTCTGCAGGGCTCAGTGATGCTGAGCTGCTGGGGTCTTGGGTCCTTCGGTGCCTGTGCTGAGCCTGTCCCTGCACCTCACACGGTGCAAGACCACGATCCAATCTTCCAGGAGGTTTGGGGCAGAGCCCAGGCTGCAGCAAAGCCACGTGCCGCTCGTCGAGCTGGATGGCTCCTGGGGGCAAACTGCCCTTGGCTCCTGTGATTTGGGGGGAGCCAGCCCCCAGGAGGCTTCTGCTTCAAATCACCATCCACAGAGCTGCTGGGAGCGTGGCTCTGCTGGCTGTTTGAGTGCAGCCAGGCCAGTGTCCCTACGTTTAATCTCTGCTCTGGGGTATCTCAACTCCTAGAGTCAAGATGGGGTGGCGCATTCATCGGCGCCAAAAGGCAGCCGTCTGGCTTCCTCCCA